GCCAGGACAAGAACACAAGGACTCGTCTTGGGTGTGTTGTTTTCAGACTAATCAACCAGAACTTCACACAACAAACTAATCAGGAATCAGCATTCCAAGAATGACCGATCAGAAGCTGGCATGGATCAATCAGGAACCAACACTATCTGAACAACCTTTTAAGATTGGGCACAAACAAAGAACCAATCAATTACCAACCTACACCAATTGCAAACCATCTCAGAAATCAGGACACCAGGCTACAAAGGCAGGAGCCCAATCAGTTCCTGCTCAGTTTCCGGTGATCTACTATATAGACCACCTTGTCTCTGAAAATGTGCTGCAGGTGCTGCAGAAATGTTGGGAAATATGTTGTCCAGACCATAATCTCTAGTCCTGAAACCCAACACTGCCCAAATTTATCATAGTCTTTACTTTTATACCGAGGGTGAATTTTTCTCACATGAACATGCATAAGAGAAAGCTGTTTGGGTGGTTTCTCATTCCAAAGTTATTTAGCATATAGCTCTAGGTTTTAAATATAAAATTGCAACAGAGGGAAATCCTATATAAATCTCAGATACTTCCTGTTTCACAGCCAAAATCATCAAAACATAGGGATTGGGACATTTTCTTTAAGATCTAATTTTGAAAATTAAATATGATTAAAATCTCATGAATTAGCCAGGTCTGCACATTTTGGGTGAAATTGCATTTTTGATCATTTTAAATTCTTTTAAATTAATATTTTTTTAAAAATGTCGAGGGAGATTCCTGCAACACTGAATAAAATCATGAAATTCTGGCTAGTGCTAAAGGGTTTTCCTATTTTCGAGCAATGAGATCTGCCCTTGAAATAAATGCACAGTTGAAATAGCATTAATCAGAATGAATACATGCTGTTTTAACTGGAATACATATTTAATCCATTCTAATCAAATCTTCCTGCAATGTTTAATGATGGACTTATGTAATTCCAGAGATGTAATATCAGCCACACACCTCTAAGCTTTCAGTTGTAGACAGAGGAAAACGCCTGGAAAATATTAAAATATTTTCTAGTGTTTCACATCTGTTCATTAATACTGTCATACTTAGGAATTACCAAGACATATAATATTAAAAATCATATAGTATGAGATCTTGGACCTGCTAAGCTAGTACTCTAAAAACAAGCAGTGGCCCTACATTAAGCTGACAACAAACTCCCTGCTTACCGACTGGAGCAAATATATTTGTTATAACTTTACAACTTATTTTAATGGTTCAGTACTTTTAAGTGTCCTTTCCAAATGCATGCCTCTTGAGGAAGTTATTTTAAAAATAAATATATTTTTCTTCATAATTCTGGGTATGATCTGTGACAAAAAAGATTCAATTTCTCAGTTAAGAAAAAGGGCAGCTGATAGGGGAAATCTCTCATCAAAATACTGAGAATATTATGTATAGGCTGTATTTCACTGTTCTTTATTAATCTTGAAAAGGTAATCAGAATTAGATTTAATAAATGTTTGGATAAGTAGGGTAAAATTTCATGGGACTTTAAAATTCAGGACTTGAATTATTAACTTTTCGCCTCTTTTTGACTGTGAATCTAATTATAGATTGACCATCTAATAGTAATAATATTTCCATTTGTCTCTGCTTGGATCCTTGATACATTACAACATCCTAGGTTCTTGGGAAGAACTCAATGTGTATGAAGGCTATTTGAACTAATGCAATCAATTTAAAATAATGCAATCAAGGCCCAACACCAGCTAAACAACTGGCAGCTGTAATGGGAGGAGGAGGAGGAGGAGGAGGAGAAGAAGAAGAAGAAGGACCAGTCTCAATGTGGCTGACCATCCAACATTGTCTTATCACTAATAATCTCAACTTCAAGACTAGGGATTGAAATGGAGCTCTTCAGAGACCCCTCCAAAGATTAATTGATCCCAATCAATCTTATCAGCTTTTAAACATCTATTCATACCCAGCCACTTACTGAACTCCTTTTGACACCTAGGCATTTATCACCCCCTTGGATAATTCCATCAACCCTTGGGGGATTGATACTGACCACTGTGGGGAAAACAGTTTAACCAGGGCTTTTAAACTAGAAATTTCTGTATGTAATCTAGGTGCTCTGGCCTTGCATGGAATATTTATGAAAAAAGGATATTTTTTGTCATAAATATTTATGAAAAAGGATAAGTCCTCCATAATGGAGGCTCTGCAACTTCCCAGGGGCAAGGGGCAGAGCAAGGGACATAATGAAGCTGGAACCGATGGTGAGGGCTCTCAAATATTGTGACAGACTTTGCCTTGATCCCATCCTCTGATAACCACATTGAAGGCAGACTCTTCAACAGTGAGCTTATTATTATAAAACTTATTATAATGCTAAAGTCAACTTAAAATTCAAAGCAAAAGAGTGAAAGTATATTGGCAACTTGGTTTTGCATGTTTACTGAATTTGCTGTATAAAAGTTTCTCGGCACACATTATTTATTTTGCAAAGTTATATTCTACTTTAAATGGGAACCATATCAAAATCCTTACAGTGTCTTAACCAGTATAAACGTAAAGCAATAATAATAATTAAACACTGACTTGTAAAAGCTGTACAACTCTGATCCTAAAAACCAGCAATTACTAAATTATTGTAATCATCATCAGCTCTGTAATGGAAAAATTACTTTATTAGAGCTGCAGTATGAACTTTTAAACACTACTAAATTTACTGAGGCATAATTCCAAGCTATTATGCTCAAAGCAACATCTGTTACTTTAAAAAATGGTTTAATATTTAGAATACTACTACCACTATTCCTTGCATATGTCATCATGTATATATGCAATATGTGTAAGTACATGATTTTATAAAATGGTAGAAACTACCTTTCTAGCATTTTATAATACCAACATCAGTAAATGGTTCATATCATGAGACAGCTCACATATGAAATGTTTTGAAAAAGCAGTTTTAAAAAAAGGTTTGTTTACAAAGATGAACATTCCTCCACAGACAAAAAGTATTTACCGGTATTTGCATTTATTGTCTGTGCAACTCCAATGGGTTCTGGACTGGTAATAGAAATTATAATTTTATTACTATGCATTAATATTACATTTGGGTATGGAACAAGTTGGTTTATTCTACTCTTCCAAATACAAGCAAGCATTGATACATTCTGATGGTCTTAAAGAATTGGAATTCATGCTTTAAATGCTATAGGCCTAGAAATCACAGCAATAAAATAACATCCCAACTTTCTGATCCTATAAACATATAATCCTAGGGCTAAATAAGAAAGAAATAAAACCAACAAACTATGATGCTGTGGTAGACTTTTTCAAAAGACACTGATTTAAACAGAAACAATGAAAATGAAATGATTACTCCTGTATCTCCGTTTTTCAAGTTTAGTTCATATATAATAAAGAGTTTTCTAAACAAATTGCTTTGAAGAAGCAATGTCCAAAAGAACTGAAAGATAAGTCTCTTTTAAGTGCTTTCCTTAGAATCCATTTAGAAAGTTTTAATTAGAGGGATGAAAGCAATCATTTTGGGATGAAAGATAGTTGTATTAATCTGTTGTAGCACAAATAGCAAAGAGCCTTGTGCCAAAAACACATTTATTACTCTTTAAAGTACTGCAAGACCTTGTAACATTTTAATGCATTAGCAAAATTAAAAAAAAGATTGTGGAGATTGAGGCTGAGGTTACAAAACCACTCCCTTGGTTTCTATGAGCTTGTAGGCTTTGTTAGTGTCAGATTTCCGGATGCAAGAGAATATTAATTAGATATTTGGAGCTTTTTTTCTCTGACCTTTCCATCCCCAACCCTCTAGCAATTAGCCTTTCATGAAATCCATCTAAAGATCTCTTTTCTCTTTGATATACTTGTCACCTTCCCTTCCTCTTCATTGAAGAATCTCATTTCTGATTAGATGCTCTCAAACAACATTTAAAAAAAAGAAATCTGTACTCAAAACAAATTAATTTGGCCTCTTACATGGCCATTCATCTCATCCAAGTTGAACATCTCTCCACATCAGTGCAAAGGTTTACTTCACTATTATATTCAGAAAAAGCACAAAGAGATGGATGAAAAGAAAACATCATTTTTTATAAAACTATGCTATGCGTTTCTTCCCCAAAGTGTAGATGCTCAGCACAACATAGCTAGTTGTGTATTTCCATCACAGTTAAGCATCCTTTGCAGAATGAGGTCAGGAAGATGAAAAGTCAGCCCATCAATATAGTTCCTAAGGTAGTGAATGGATATTGTACTGCCCGACTGGATCCCATCATTTTTCCCAGCCACTCCCACTCCTCAACTTGTTTCACACAAGTTCAGTAATGCAAGGTTGCATAAGAGATATAAATCCATTTCTTGGCAGGCACAAAAGGCACAAAAATCTTTTGATTAAAGACAACTCTGTTACTATGAAAAATGTACAGGAAATCTTTAAATTTTAAATTTCAGATTTGGACGAGGGCCACCTGCAAGGTCCAGAACAGAAGTACAGACCAACAGTCTATTTGCAGTCTACAGAAGTCTAGCACACAAGTCAACCATGTCTAAGAGAAAAGAAATTCATTTAAAATTCATTTGAGCAAAGGGAAAGTAGCCATATCTCAAGGGAACAAAAAGTACCTCAATCTCAGTGCAAGCCAGTTCTCTCAAATAAAGCTCACCACATTTAAACTAGATTTAAATAAAACATAAATTACACATTGGTATCTCAGAAACGACTTCTATCCATTTACAGAACCTACAACAGCGGGCAACTGAGAGAATGTTATTGTTTCCAACTAAAACATTACATCTCATAATGCACTGAAAATCCTTATTAAAGTCTAAAATGCATGGTTATGAATTCGAAGTAGCGCTATGGAACTTTGGAAGGAAACCAAATTTCCTCTCCATCTCTTTCCGAGGCTCCTGTTCTGCGCCGCCCTTAGCGTTGGAAATAGGCGCAGGATACATGCAGCCCTTTGTTTAGCATCTTTCGGTACCTCGCCTTTTACCTGTGGATGCAGTTGCCATGGCAACGGGCGGAGGTTGTTCGGCGGTGGTAAATGCCGCTGCCGGTGCCTGCGCCCCTTCGCCTTCCCAGCGCCTTGGAGACGCTCCGGCTGTACTCTCATCTTCCGCCCCGTCCCCAGCCCGATGCTCCTCGGAGCTCCGGAGATCCGGCGGCGGCGACGACATTCTTGCTAGGACGCAGGGCGGATTAGCTCAACAGTCAAAACCGGAGGATGCGGGGCGGGGAGGGAAAAGAAGAGAGGAAAGGCGGCGGCGGCGGCAAGGGCGGCCGCCGGGGGGTGCGTTCGTGTGACTGCTGGCAGCTACCGCAGAAGCCGCTGTGGGAGGACTGGGCGGCTGCCTCGAGAAGAGACGGCTGCTTGGGTAGTACTCTTACGGCTGTGCCTCCGCCGCTAGCGCCTTTTACGCAGGTGCACCTTGGGCGTTGAGTTGGAGTCTCCAGCCTTTGCGTCACCCGCTGGCTGGCATATCACAGAGCAGGGAAAGAGCTGCTTGCCCCTTTAAACTCTGCCCCGTTTAACCGCTTCATCTCAGTGGTAGGAGGCCTAGACCGGCTCCTCTTTGAGTGCTGAAACAAAAACGAAAACAAACACTCGATGGAGAATCTGGCTTTGTGAAAGGTTCCCTCATGCATTGCCACAACCCTCAATGCACTAGTCTGACAGAGGTACTTCAAGCTTGTGTTGTTGTTTTTTTGATACTAGTTCATGCCTGCATATTTATACACCCATACAGCTAAACTCCTGAGTATTGGATATTTAAAACCAGTTTTTTAAAATGGGCTTTAACATATTCTATTGTACTGGGACTGGATTTTAAGACAGAAAGTTGCAAAGCAAAATAGAAAGGTAATGATCAACCGACTAATTACATTTTAGAATCTATCTAGTGTAGTGTACAAATGAAAAAAAAATATGGCTACCAAGTCCTTCACATCACTGAGCAGTTGAGCTCAAACACCCAGCCACTCCCAATTTTCAGGTTTTCTTTAAAAGGTCTCTGGTTTCGTACCTATTTTCTGTATTCTTACTCATGTTTATACTTATACCTATTATTTTGTAAGCAATTGACAACTCAAATAAATAAATAAATAAATAAAATAGTTTAATTAAATATAACATGCAGCATCAAACATGTTTATTTACAAGTAAGTTGCCTGCTGATTGAGCTGTCTCGCCAAGTAATTTGCATAAGCTTACAACTTTAATTTTTATAATAATTTCAAACCAGATAGGAAATAATGCATTTTTTAAAAAAAGAAAACTTAGGTATTTGCAAACCATTCCTCATAGGATACAGAATGATGCCTTGGAGATCTATCTAGCCAAAGAGAATCTGTTCTGCTAAAGAGCAGCTCTGCAAGGTTTCAGACAGTCCCTTCCAGGTCTTCCTGGAAGATGCTAGAGAACAAAGGAATGTTCTGCGACTGAGCCATGATATCATGCCACTGCTAGAATTCTGACTACTGGTTTTTTTGTATGACTACTAAAAGGTGACAAAAGTATCCAAGTTTTTTCATGACAAGGCCCATGAAACTGTTTCAAGCCAAAATGTATCTTCATTCTTGGAGATAATTGTATACTTTGCCCCAGATTTCCATCAATAACAAAATAAAGTGAGCAAGAAACAAGCATGTGTATACATTTAAAAAGTGAACAAAGAGGCACTGAATTATTTCCATAGAATTGGGGGGAAATGGGAAAAGGGAAGTCTTGTTTGCTCTCTGAGCTTGGTTGGTTGCTTACAGATGTTTCATTACCAGACTAAATAATATAACCTCATCAGGTAATGAAATGTCTGCAAGCAAACAGCCAAATTCAGGGAGCATCAAGGATTCTACGCTTCAATCCAAAAATGCATATATTCTGTTCTAAAATTGAAAACGCTTGGAATTCAGGAACTTGGATAATACCACCACCAGCAGTAGACGGGTATTGTTGTTCTGAACCCAACTAAAGCAGAAAGGCCAAGCTGCTGCTATTTTTAGTAGGCCTGGCCACCACAGTGACTTTGTGCTGCCTGCTAAGCAGCAATTATTGTTGCAAAGCATTGTTCCATTCCATGCAGGGTGAGCTGCCTCAAAAAGGACAGACCCCTGTTGGAAACGGTCTTGCCAGATGCTGATGCTGCTTTGTTCATTTATTAATTGTCTATTTAGACTTTTTGGATGGTTGCTGTTTTTCTGGTTTTAACCTAGCAACTACATCTTACTAATAATTCAGCTTGATTATTCCCTTTTGAATAGGAAATGAAAAATTAGTGAGGTTTTAGGACTTTCTCAGAAAAAACAGGACCAGAGGTACTCTAGGCTTCACCAGTCTGATAAATCTGGCAGAAAGCATGGAATAAAAACAAACTAAATTAAACAGCAATGGATGAGGGAAAAGATTTATTAAATAGATTCTGCTTATGTTTTTTTATCAGCTACAATAGAAATGGGTCACCTGCGGCTTCAGGCTACCCATGGACCCTAAGGGCTCCTTTTGCAACTACCAGAGTTGCCTCAGGCCATTATCTCTGAGAATTTGTGGCATAATCTGTCATCATTTCAAGACAGGAAGCCTATTACAACTATAGTGCAAGTCCTACAGTAGACTTGATGGCACATAATCATCACTCATTCCATTTGTATAATTACATTAACCGTGGCTTTCAGGCTAACACAAAATGTTAAACATAGCCTCTGGCCACCAAAGATTTCTACCTTTGTCCTGGCTCAAATCTCTCTAAATAGTACCTGCCATTTCTGGTTTTTATGGTGAGTGCCATTTTCTAACACAATATCCAAAAAAAAAAAAAATTGTGCTTGACTTGTTAGAATAGAGAAAATGTTGAAACTGTGCTTATAATCATACTTTTATTTGTGGGTGTGCAGATCTGTAATCTGCCTGGAGGAGAATCTTTGCTTATAATAATGTATAATCTTGCCCCAATGTCAGAAAGGAACTTACAAAGGCATGTCACTTTGCTTCAGCTTGATTGATCCACTTTGTGAATACCAGAACCAACATATAAACTGTATATATGCAGAAGTTATTTTGCTGAATGAAGTAATGCAACTTCTCTGCCCTGCCAGACTGATGTGGGGTGCTTTTTACTTTGTAGAGGTATATAAAAGTACAGTTTGCACAAATATGCCTTCAAATATCTGCTAGGCCCTGTTTGAATTATATTCATATAAAATAAATACATTTACATTATACATGAAATAATGCAAATAATGCCTGATGTAATTTTTTCCCCATGGTCACACCCACTATTTATTGCACTGCTTTCCCCAGGCTAGCACCCAAAAGCCAAGTGTGGCCCTTCTTCAAAACAAATTCTGCAGCTTCTCCATAAATGGCTCTCAGTCAGTGATGTGTGTCAAAGATAACACCACCACAACATTTTGGGTGACACACAGCATTCATTATCAACTGACAACAACTATTCTTGAAAGCACACCCCATTCTTGTGCAAATTTAAGAGGGTCAGAGGCCTGCTGTCATGCAGCCTCTGGAAGTCACATGAGAAAGGTGTGTTCTCTTGCAACCTCTGAAATTTCCATAACAATATGGTGTGATTTCGGGGATTTTTCAGAAGCTGCAGAGAGTATTCCCTGAGCCAATTCAAGAACAAAGGGTTCATGCAACTTGAAGCAGACTTGGGTAGGCTTCAGGGGCCTGTCAAAAGAAAGATAAAAATGTCTTCCAGTTTGGGTTTCTTCAGCGACAGACCGAAATACACGGTCGTGCGCAGTTTCAATCTGTGCTCGCTGCTGGAGCGCCCCGATCCTTTGGATTCGGGGCTGAAGCCACCCCGTAGAGGTGGTGAAGAGGGGGGAGATTGCTAGCCAAGTGGAGGGGAGCCGCATCTCTCCTCCTTGGCTGGTCTAAACTCCCTTTCCCAAAAGGCGGTTGAAGCAGTGGTCAGAAATGGCCACTTCAAAGAAGAACCCGACTGGATAAGATTGTGCAGGAGGAAGACAAAGAGGAAAGCAGGACAGACCAGGCTAAACAACAGAGAACATCTAAGCAAGGTACCCTGAATCTAAAAGTACCTAGTGGGATACTTCTGAAAGAAGATTTTTAAGCGGCGAAGGAGAGAGAAAAGGAGGTTAAAAACCTTTTTTTAACCTTAAAATTGACAATTACAAATGGTATGGAAAGAAATTTATGTTAATCTATTTTGACACTAATAGGCAACTTTAAACTGAAATCTAAGTGTCAAAAGGAGAATAAAGATTTTTTCTTGGTCATTTTAAAGCCCTAAAAAGGAAAAGAGTGGAGGCAAAAGGGTGGGACTCGGAATAATGAAAAAATGGAGAGTGTTAAGCCTGGATTCCCCAACGGGTGTTAAGGAAAACAAACTAAACAGAATGTACAGCGAAGTCAGATAGGAAGACAGGTAAATGTGTGAGATAAGTTTTTCTAGTTACCACGCAGTAAAAATACAGATACGCTTGTGCTATCAAAAATTATAATTTATTCCATTTAAGAATTATAGCATAGTCATGTAAACAGTCCAGTAGTCATATATCAATTTCAGTCAAGTCTTGTCAGGGATACTCTATTTGCAAAGTCCGTGTTGAATAGCCAGTGTCAGTACACATATAATAAATCTGTCCAAAACTTATCTTCTCTCCGTTGAGAAATATCTTCAAAGTAATCCAACACTTCTTCTCCTCCCCGATCCAGCAAGAACGCAGTCTTCAATAAGCCAGCCAGTAAGAGCCAGAGAGTGCCTTGCTGGTTATATAGTACTTTTACAGCTGCACCCTTAATTACATTCCTTTAGCTTAAAGTCACATACACTTTATCTGACAAACCATGATTCATCATTTTATTATCTTTACCCAAAACAGTTAGGGTAAAACAATGTTATCCCTAACAGAGTGCTACCTGGAAAAATAAACAGGATTAACAGTGAAAACTTTGAAAAGACTCCCAAGGATACATTGTAACTGAAATCTTATTAAAAGAGACAGTAACCCACAGAAAGGGAAAAAAAGTAAAGGAAAGAAATAAGAAAGA